GGGAGGGATTGCATTGGGAGTTATACCTGATGTAAATGACGAGTTGATGGGTGCTGACGAGTTGATGGGTGCACCACACCAACATGGTACAAATATATATATGTAACAAGCCTGCACATTATGCATATGTACCCTAGAACTTAAAGTATAATAATAATAAAAAAATATATTAAAAAAAAAAAGAAAAGAAAAAAAAATTTGCCCGGAGTGGTGGTGTGTGCCTGTAATCCCAGCTACTAGCGAGGCTGAGGCAGGAGAATCGCCTGACCCCAGGAGGCAGAGGTTGCAGTGAGCCAAGATTGTGCCACTGCCAGCCTAGGCAACAGAGCAAGACTCCCTCTCAGAAAACAACAACAACAAACCTATAAGGCAAAAAACAAAAAACAAAAGAGAAGATCTAACTTCTTAGTAAATGTGTTCACCATTAGGGTGTTTATAAAAGAGATGTCATTCTTTATTAATATAGGAGAATATTCTTATTCTTAGAAAATGTACACTTAGGCTGGACATGGTAGCTCATGCTTGTAATCCCAGCAGTTTGGGAGGCCGTGGCAGGAGGATCACCTGAAGTCAGGAGTTTGAGACAAGCCTGGCCAACATGGTGAATCCCTGTCTCTACTAAAAACACAAAATTTAGGCAGGTGTGGTGGTGGGCACCTGTAATCCCAGCTACTTGGGAGGCTGAGGTGGGAGGATCACTTGAACCCAGGAGGAGGAGGGTTGCAGTGAGCCAAGATTGCACCATTGCACTCCAGCCTGGGCAACAGACTGGGACTGTCTCAAACAAAAAAAGGAAAATGTATACTTAATATTTAAGGGTAAAGTGTTACAAAGCCCAAAACTTAATTGATCAATCAAAAATATATATAATATATAAATACACACTCACATATATAATAAAGAGAAATAGAGAAATAAAGTAAACGTGGCAAAATGTATAGGTATTCAATTCAACTCTTCTTTCAAATTATCTGTAAGTTTGAAGCTTTTTCAAAACAAGTCTGAGGGAGGAACAGTCCAAAAAAACATTTTTTTTTTTTTTTACCTTGAAGTCGCTCATCAGTGAATATTTTGTTTGTTTGGTTCCAGGTACTATCTATAAATATAATTTTTTTCAGTGGTGTGCCTTTGCACTTGCTGTCATTCAAATCACAGAACTGTTGTTCTTCAGTTCTTTTGCGTTTAAAAGATGGCTTGTCAGGGTCATCATTTTTGCCTCTAACATTATTTTGAATCCTTTTTTGCAGATGAAAAGAAATATCTTTTATTGAGATAGACTGAGGTCCAGGAAAAACGAGTGCAACCTAAAACAAAGAAAATTGGGTTAGCAGTGTGCTACTATGATCTTCAAAATATATAAATTTTGATTGACTTAAAATTTTAAGAAAGACATGTTGCATATCTGAGAAACAAGCATTAGGCTGGTTCTATTGTATATGGTTCTTTAATATGTATGGTAAAGTTTTTGGCTCTCCCCTAGTAATTTATAATCATAATATACTAATTAAAACTATTATTTCAAAATAAGTTATTCACTGACTGATAGATGCCAAGTTAATCATACTTGAAATAAAAAGATTAAATTATATAATTTTTCATAAGATAAAAAGCAAAGTACATGATACTTTGTAAAAGAACCACTGAAAACTGTTCAATGATTAAATGCCATTTGCATCTATATCATAAGCCAAAGATAAAACAAATGATACAGTGAATGCTGGTGAGGAAATGGTGGTTTGAGGGCAGGATTAAATAGCATAACTCTTCATGGAAGCAATTTGACAATTTAAATCAAGAGTCTTAAAATTATTCATACCCTTTGGTTCAACCATTTCATTATGGGAATGTAATAAAATAAACCTAAACACAGACACTTACAATATCTAAGTATATTTATTACAGTGAAAAATTAAAATGAAAAAAATCTAACTTTCCAGGAAAAATTACATAAGTATGATACCTCTTTTCTTTCAGCACATTTTTACTGAGATTTATATTATTAGAGCTTCCAATGTCTGAACAGCTCCTGGCACAGAGCAGGCACCAAGTAAATATTTGTTAAATGAATAAACGTTGGAGAATCAAGGGAATTTTATCCCCATATGTTTCTTTATTTCCCAAATTTTCTTCAATGAGCATGCAAATTTTTAAAAGAAAAAGATAAAAACAAAATCATAATAAAATAAAATTAAGTAACAAAAAGTCTTGGTCAGGCACAGTGCCTGTAATCCCAGCACGTTGGGAGGCCAAGGTGAGAGGATCACTTGAGCCCTAGCAGTTCGAGCCCAGCCTGGGCAACATAGTGAGACTTGTCTCTACAAAGAATAAAAACATTAGGTGGGAGTAGTGGTGCAACTCCCATGGCCTCAGCTACTCGGGAGCCTGAGGTACGGGGATTGCTTGGGCCCAGAAGTTTAAGGCTACAGCAAGCTGGGATCATGCCACTGCATTCCAGCCTGGGCAACAGAGCAAAACTCTGTTAAAAAGCAAAAACCTTGAATTTTATAAATTTCAAAGTTGTCAAAGTTTTTAAATATTCATAATACATGTCTATATTTCTCCCTATATCCGGTTAGCAAAGTCCAGAGCTTCTGAATTTTCTTAGATTATAAACATATCACATCTCCTTACAGAACATAGCACTACATTCTATTTAATCAACTTAAATGGAGTCTAGCTGACCAGAGAAGAAACATTTTCCTAGATCCAAAACTCAAATATTATTTACAAACATAATTTTTTATATAAACTCAACCAAAAAAAGATATATAGATATAAACAGAAAAGTAAAAATTTACCAAGTTCTTCCTGGAACAAATGAATGCACTAATTTCTAATTTTGTTTCTATATTAGCCACACCAACAAATGGCCTCCAAGAGACCAAAAGGCTTTTACATGCTTCTTTTAGTACCCAAGGCCTAATTTTTTGAGACACATTGTAAAATTACTTTTCTCCAAGAAGACCCATAATATCTCACCAATGTGACAATTCCAACTGGGTGAAAACCAATTAAGAATCTAAAAATGACCAAGGAAGGCCTCTGAGCAGCTGAAAGAAATGTTATAAAGGCTATGCACTAAAGCTCTTAATTTAGGAGGATTCCTGAATATCCTAACTCAGTCTTTCTTCTTTTAGAGAAATTCCAACAATATTTGTAATCTGGTTTCCCAGTTTGCATCAAATTAGATCATCTATATGTAGCACAAACAGGAGAAGGAGAAGAGAAAAAGTAAAAGCAGGCACAATAATATTGGCAAGCAGTAAAAACCTGAAGAAATAAGGCAGAAGAGCTATAAAATGCAGACTCAAAAACACATAGCAGTCTAGAATCATCTGATCTTTGAAGATATCAATGAAATAAACTGTATATTGTCTAATGCTACCTAAGCATAATTCTTTATTAAGAAAAATATTAAATTATGTTTGAGTAAGATCAGAAAGGCAATGGAGGTTAAAATTCATTTGTATATCCAATGTGAAGAGTCATAAAAACTAAGTTACCTACTTCATGGTCCTTTTCTTCATATTCTGGAATACAAGGATACGTGTAAATGTTTACAAATTCAGGTGCTAAGAGTTTTGCATGTATAGCAGTACTTTTGCCATCTGTTTCATTTGGATGTTTAATGATGTCAATCTTCAATGGAAGCTAAAGGTAAAAAAAAAGGACAAATAAAAAATATATAAACATTCTAATTTTTATGTTAATAAAAAGGGTCTTTAAAGCTAAATAGGAAGCTTACAATAAATTTCTATAAATACACATACGGTTTAAAAGATATACCAGAATATTAAGAATGGTGATTGTTACAAAACCAACCCAAATTTCTTCCTTGGCATTGTTAATCATGTATTAGGACAACTATTTTCAACTCATTTAACATAGAATCTTCTCCTAAAGCAAAGCTCCAATGTCATTTTCATTTAAGTTATATTAACTCCAATTCTTTGCATTTCACTATATGTGCCAAGGACATTTTTATAAATCCTATAAACTCTAGGTTTGCCTATTTTATGCTATTTTATTTTATTTTTATTTCTTTATCTTGAGATGGACTCTCACTCTGCCACCCAGGCTAGAGTGCAGTGGTGTGATCTCGGCTCACTGCAACCTCCATCTCCTGGGTTAAGCAATTCTGCCTCAGCCTCCCAAGTAGCTGGCATTACAGGCACCTGCCACCATGCCCAGCTAATTGTTGTATTTTTTTAGTAGAGATGGGTTTTCACCATGTTGGCCAGGTTGGTCTTGAACTCCTGACCTCAAGTGATCCACCTGTCTCAGCCTCCCAAGCGTTCAGATTACGAGTGAGCCACCATACCCGGCCTCTTATGTTATTTTAAAAGGAAATGTAAGTTTGGGCAAAAAGTTTCAGATCTAAAATTCAAGTTGAAATTCTGTTCCTTATATATACTTTCAAGTCAAAACTGATATCCTTTGCAGGAAACATCGTGATTTTCGGCATCACATTTTCAACAGCACAAATTAAATAATTATCAATTAAAAAATAGTAACAATAGGTCTAAGAGGTGTAATCTTTATATCACAAAACTCTCTTCAAAATCATGTTGCCTAAATAGTCCCCATTCTTTCTGGCACCAAGAAGGACTGGTTTCTTGAAAGACAATTTTTCCATAGACCAGGGTTAGGGGAGAGGGTTTGATTCAAGTGCATTACACTTATTGTGCACTTTATTTCTATTATTATTACACGATAATATATAATGAAATAACTATACAACTCACCATAATGTAGAATCAGTGGGAGCGTGAGCTTGTTTTCCTGCAACTTGATGGTCCCATCTGGGGGTGATGGGAGACAGTGACAGATCTTCAGGCATTAGATTCTCATAAGGAGCGTGCAATCTAGGTCCTTTGTATGCACAGTTCACAACAGGGTTCATGCTCCTATGAGAATCTAACACTGCCGCTGATCTGACAGGAGGCAGAGCTTAGGTGGTAATGTGAGTGATGGTGAGTGACTGTAAATACAGACAGAGACTTTGCTTGCTCTCCAACAGCTCACCTCTTCGTGTGTGGCCTGGTTCCTTAGGACTGGTACTGGTCTGTGATCTGGGGATTGGGGACCCCTGTTGCCTGAGTATCTCCCTTAAAGTTTCATTATTTGTTATAGATGTTGTCTGTAACATGTCTCTATGCAAAAATAATATTCTCTTGGATTTCTTCAATTACATTTTTCTTATTTCACTTTGGCTTTTTGGTTTAGCTCTCTTTGTAATGCTTATACAAGCACTGCATTCAGCCATGATTATGAAAAAAATGCTAGGTCACATCTCCCTTACTATATATAAGAAACCCTCTGGAGATGTGTTCTTGACTTCAGCTCTTAAATGACCTTTTGTTTTATTTAGTAGTTCCCACCATCTCCAAGTTCCCATCCCATACTAAATAAGTAGGATTCTAGGAATTTACCCTGGGCACACTATTTTACCCTGGAGGACAAAACTATTTTTCTTACGTCTTAAACTGTACATATTTAAAGTGTACAATCTAATAAGTTTTAACATACATTAAATCCTTGAATCCATTGCTACAGTCAAAATAATGATTTGCCATTATCAAGTCTTCTCATGCTCTTCTTCCTTCTCCTCTCACCATCAACCACTGCCCTCCTCAGGCAATCAGTAATCCACTGCCACTATAGTTTGTACTTTCTAGAATTTGATATAAATGAAATCATACAATGTACACTCTTCATTTGACTTTAGCTAAGAATAGTTATTTTGAGGTTCTTCCATGTTGTGTGTGTGTCATTAGTTCCAAAACTATTTTTGAATGGAGCAGCTACTAAATAATTCCAATTTCAAATTTTTTTCTTCCTGGACAATTACGTTGGGGACAGAACAGTAAAAATAACACACCCCAGGAGGACCTTGGCCTACAAATAGTTTTCAATTAGGGTTTCAAACACTGTATCTCCTACTCTCCCCGCTTAGGCCTAGCAATCATTTATAAGTTAGGCCCAATGATCATTTATAAGTTAGGCCCAATGATCATTTATAAGTTAGGCCCAATTGCTTCTAATCATCAAACCAACTTCTAATTACGGAACATTTACCATTTAAGTAGGCAGTTTACAAATGATTTTACGTCAGTCTACTTCTGGCTGAACACTACATCAGAATTTCCTCATGACGATCGGTTTCAGTTGACACTATTTTCCCTCTCCCTACGGTCCCTGAGCACCATGTCAGTATTATCTTAGCCCAGGGAAGGTAGGAAATAAGAAAAGAAAAAAAAAGCAGATCATGACAAGAAAAGAAAAAGAAAGCAGATCATAAAAGTGACCTTCTTATATGACTGATGAGTAAAGTTGAAAATTCCAAAAGTTATCAATATTTCTGACCAGCTAGCTATCTTGGAGGGTATCATTTATATTAAGAACAGAGGAGTGTTATTGACAAATTTTATAAATCATGTGCCTAGCCTATTTTTTAATTATATGATAAAATAAAAAGCTTTATGAACTAAAGTCTGCAAGCATAATATAATTATGCAAAACCTGTCCACAATCCAGGTATTGTTAGTTCTCCATGAGCATGAGATCTCTCGCATCATAAAATCAAAGCACAGAAACAGATCAAATCATGGAAATCCATGTTTGTGTTCTAGTTCACACATGTTAAAAGAAGATTATTTCTTAAATAATGACAAGAGTACAGAGTAACAATAATAGTGTTGACCACACAGGAACAGAAAACCAAACAACCAAACAACGCATGTTCTCATTCGTAAGTGGGAGTTGAACAATGAGAACACATGGACACAGGCAGGGGAACATCACACACTGGAGCCTGTCTGGGGGTGGGGGGCTAGGGGAGGGATAGCATTAGGACAAATACCTAATGTAGATGATGGGTGCAGCAAACCACCATGGCATGTTTATATCTATATAACAAAACTGCAAGTTCTGCACATATATCCAAGAACTTAAAGTATAAAAATAAAAAAAAAAAAGAAAGAAAGAAAAAAAATTTTTGCTTTTTTACAAGCTACAAAAACACTGCTCTGAGGCTTCGTATGGACATTAAAGCTTAACTGTGTTTAAAAAAAAAAAAATAGTGTTGACCAGAGGGCAGTCTTAAGCGTTCTGTTTTCAAACAAGTAAAGAATATCAATCAGCTCTCTAACACCTATGTTTTATAAAAGAGACTTACCACAAATCTTTCCACCCAAGTTTATCAAAACGCTACTGACAAGGAGACCTCAGCATTTTCTCATGGGATTATCAACTTTCCCCAAGAGAGCCTTTTAAATTCTAGGCTCTAAATTCCTATGGCCTACTGAAGTGTAACCATTGTAACATTGTACCATAGTGCAGTACTCATATGCTTGTGACGATCCTGATGTAAACAAACCTACTGCACTGCCAGTCATAAAAAAGCATGCTATACAATAAATGCTTAATAATGATAATATAAATCTGTTACTGGTTTATGTATTTACTATACTACACTTAATTTTTTTAGTTTTAGAGTTACTCATCCTAATTAGAAAAAAGAAATGTTAACTGTAAAACAGCCTCAGGCAGGTCCTTAAGGAGGTATTCCAGAAGAAGGCATTGCTATCACAGGAGATGACAGCTCCATACATTGCCCCTGAAGAGCTTCCAGTGGGACAAGATGTGGAGGTGGAAGAAGACCGTGACACTGATGATCCTGACACTGTGTAAGCCTAGGGTAATGTGTTTGTGTCTTAGTTTTCAACAAAAAAGTTTAAAAAGTAAAAATAAATAAACAATAAAAATAGGAAAAAGGTTATAGGATAAGAATATAAAGAAATAAAATATTTTTGTTCAGCTGTACAATGTGTTTGTGTTTAAAGTTAAGTGTTATCACAAGTTTTTAAAAAAGCTTATAAAGTAAAAAAGTCACAGTAAGCTTATTATTGAAGAAAAATATTTTTCATAAATGTAGTGTACCCTAAGTATACAGTGTTTATAAAAACTACAATAGTGTACAGTAATATCACAGGCCTTCACATTCACTCATAACTCACCATTGACTCACCAAGAACAACTTCCAGTCCTGCAAACTCCATTCATGCTAAGTGCCCATAAAAGATTACTATTTTTATACTGTACTTCTACTGTACGTTTCTATGCTTATATTTGTTTAGATACACTAATATCATTGTGTGTACAACTACGTACAGTATGCAGTACAGCAACATGCTGTACAGATTTTGTAGGCTAGGAGCCATAGGTATAGCCCACGTGTGTAGTAGGCTATACTATGAAGGTTGTGTAAGTACATCTAAGATGTTCGCACAACAGTGAATTTGCCTAACGACTCATTTCTGAGGACACATTTCTCAGGATGTATCCCTGTCATTAGGAGACATATGACTATATTTATGAATGCATTCCCTGGACTAAAATTGGGAGGGAATTACTCATTATATTGTCATCCTCCCTTTCTAAGTAGGCTATCTAAAAGCAAATGCTGAATGATTTGTTAAAATAAAAATAAAAATTAGAAAGAACATTTTGCAGAGTTGTTATTACCATTAATGTATATTAAAGTATCAACTTTCATACAAGGCCATTAAAATATAAACACTTTAGAAAACTCTGCACAGTCTAGACCATCTAGAGATGATCAAACACTAATGTCTTGAGTCATTTCTATTAAATGGTGTATATTAGACCACTGATTTGGAAAATACCCTCTAATATTAAATATCTATGAAAATATCAGCCCTGTAACTACATTACTGATTTTTATTATTATAATATGCAATCCATTTTTTAATATAATACACCTTAGGATAAAACTTTTAATGGAATCCCTTCTTTATGTGGCTATGAGAGAAATGTAAGATATAATAATTCTACGTATACTTCAAAAACCATACTTCAAAATGTAACATTCCTATAAGATAATGGGAAACTTGAAAATAATTATTACCCTCAAGTTCTTGGTTTTTCTGAGCAAACTGTGAAGCTTAAATTCCACACTTACTTATTCTTGGCTAGTAAACTTTCCATTAGCCTATATATGTGATTTTAGACGCAGAGGAGACCATGGACTGGCCAAGATGATATAGGCTAAATTGAAATTCAAATAAAATATGAGTGTCAAAGTACTTTTCTTACTTCAAATTTAAATGAAATTTAAAATCATCAAAACAAATATTTTAAAATATAGCTACAACTCATTTTTTTCACTGGAAAGTTCTTATGAGTCCATGTGTAGAGTTTAGTCTCTCTAAAGTGTTAATAAACAGTAGTCAAATTTTATACATTAATTGATTTACTCCTAAAGTTTGGGATACTGTTAGACAAGTTAACATATATATAATAAATTCTTCTTTGATTATGTAGACATGATGTTCTACAGATCTTTTACCTATACAAAAGTAGTCTTGGTAAACACCAAAAACTATAAAGGTAAGCAATCAATTCGAATGACCTTTTAAATCAGGCTTAAAATCACTCTAAAATCACACAGCCCAGGGAATTGGTCTTAGTTTTCAAATTTTACTTTATTTTCATTTTGGTCAATGAAATCTACTCCATCCCCATGTATAGGATAAGTAACAAAATCCTAGGTAAAAATCAACTCTAATTCTACTAGAATAGTGTTTTCTCAAGAAGCAGTCCAAAGACATGAGTTTTTGGAGCTCCTTCGGGGTGTCTATAAACTTATTTTTTAGTATTCATATGTTTATATCACACATTTTTTTCTTATATTGTAAATAAATTAAATCATTAATGAAAAATTAATGGGTTTCATTAAAAACAGCAAGAGGTTTAGTAGTCTGCAGGACTAAATTTTCCATAAATACACTTCGTTTTCATAATGTTAGCAATGATAAATTCCTCTTCAAAAGGTTTACTTGTGCGATGTTCTTGTTCTTTGTTCAGAAGCCCAAGCTCCTTGTACTCTCGTTTCCAGCCTGCAAGCAACCCTCCCACTCTTATTGTGCCCTGACATGCCCAAACATGTCCAGAAATGCCTTATACTATAACGGACAGACCACTCCTAACTCCTCCTTTTACAAATCGTGCATTTACCCTATTTGGAGAAGTTTAAGTCTTAGCCAACTGGAATCAGTTTAGATTGTGCGGTCCAACTCTAGCCAATAAGGGAAGGACACAGGGACAGGAACTTAATAAATAATAACATTATTTATTAAGTTTATCAATTAGAGTAGGTATACATGTTTTTAAAAAATCTATTTTCATACTTTCAAACAATTAAATTTCTTACTAACCTTCACAAGTGGAATCTGTTCAATAGGTACATTTTCAACTGGAACATAACATGTATAGCAGTAGAACATTCTGGAACCACCACATTTGAGACATTTTGATCTCCCACTTTGCTGAGCTTTTTGAAGAACTTCTTGAGATGCTAAACATAAGTTTTGAAGAGGATCTTCTGAAGCTATGGAAGTAGTTTGTGACTGTTTTGTTTCCACAAATTTTGAATTATTTTCTTCACTTCGTTTGAGAAATATAGGTGAATTGAGAGACATTCTTCATTCAAACCAAAGTTTAACAGCTATTTCTAAAACACATATCATAGGTGTACTGTAAAAAAAAAAAAAAAGTGTCAAGAGAAGGCAAAATAAAAACAGAAAACATTTTACTCAGTCTACAAAGAAAATTACTCAACTTAAGTCACAATTGTGTGCTGTTTTAGTACTTATTAAACATGTTTTAAACCACCAAATTGGCATACTTTAAAACATAAGATTAAAAGCAATAAACTCAAAGGTATTTCAAATATAAAGTTCAGGTACTGAGAATCCATTTTTCAAGAACGCTTTTTTTGTTCCAGAGATGGCAATTTTGTTTTCCAGATATTAGGAATGCAATGGTTTCATGTTAGCATCAGACAGGAATGTATTTAACCTGTTGGCTCTGACTTTGAACTGACATTAATGAAAAATAGAAGATTCTAGTGGGATTGGCAAAATTTAGTTGGTTATGTTCTAAAAGATATAGCCCTCTCCAACTTAAAACACACACTACATATGTGTGTGTGTGTGTACAAGTGTGCATATACATATACAACTAAATATCCAATAAAAAATAAGAGGCACCTACTACTCATTATAATTTATAAATTATCCCATAAGGTAAAATATATTATTTTATAAATCTTAAAAATTTACAGAGTAACATTAATCCACTTACTCTAAGAATTTATGCTTTTTAAAAACATACATCATTCTGATTCTTTAGAACTAGAGAAAAACGGTAAAATAACTTTCCCACTTAATATTTTCTTCAAAGGGTGATAGCTGCCAAAATTGTTATCTGCATACCCTGTAAGGAAGATATCTTTCAAGGGAGAAAAACACTGGTGCCCTATTGATTTGATATGCATTCCACAGCTATAAAATAATTCTCTTATTATAAAGCCTTCTGGCATTGTGGTTTAACTACGAAGCTCCAGGCACTTTAAGTAGAAACAGTGACAAGAGGAATGCTGTGACTCGAGCAGGACACGTTTTGTGGTCTCCCATATAGAAAGTGAACAATAAGTCCAGAGGAACATAAAATACAACATAATTTGCTGAGAAGTTGTTAGTGGCACTAATTTAGTTACTCATCAAATGAATTTTTTTTTTTTTAAATTGTAAATCCCAGTGAGCTTGAGACCCAAATAAGGAGATGCAAAGACGCCGGTTATAGTAGAAAAACGTACTAGCCAAATGTACCCAACGGGAAAACCAAAATACAGTAAATATATTTGCTGTGTACTGATTAGGTACAGATTTACATTTTGGGTAAGAAAGCAGTATTTAAGAACAATGGTCCAAACCCTTCTTCCTAACACACAAATAGAAAATCTTACCTACTTCTGTCACTCCAAATCACCTGCCTAAAAATGGCTTTGATCTTTGTGACCATGCCCTAAATGACTAAAAGTGCAGGATATTAAGATGCCCTCTTTTCTTGAACCTCAGATTCTTTTAGGAATCACATGAAAATCGTAAACCTCATCCCCAGATGAATATACAGACACAATATTTTGCACACAATTTCAGGAGGTTTGGAGCTCTCCTAGAGTCCATCTGCGACCCAGGTAAAGAAGTTCCAAGTTTGGGAAGGGCCGGGCTTGGTGGCTCATGCCCTTAATACTAGCATTTGGGAGGTTAAGGTGGGAGGATTACTTGAGCACAGGAGTTTGAGAATAGTCTGGACAACAAAGTGAGATCCCATCTCTAAAACAGAGAAAAAAAAGTTTGGGAAGAGATCCTAGTAGTCCCCAGAAATGAGAGTTGCAAATGCTCTGTTGGCATCTCTTTGCTGCACATAAGAAGCTAAGTTTCACCCAAACTCTCTTTGGGTTTGTCCTGGTGTTGCCTGAGGTTCTTACGGAGAAACATTTTGAGGCTTTAATAGTTCTGAGTTATTCAGATGATGTGATTCATCCTAAAAAATGAAATTTGATTGGACTAGCTTAACCTGACTTCATTTTCCTGGGTATTCCAGTAGCTATTTAGCGGGACTGCATGTGCCAAAGGACCAAGTATAGTGGGACTGAAAAATGAAGTCCCTGTGGATGTCATGAAAGTTACTGTGGTTGCCTGACATTTAACAGAAAACTATTGGTAAGTTTTTGGAGTTATCCTAGGACCCTCGACATGCATTCCTCCTAGAGATACCTCAGAAATAACACTTTGCAGTTCACAGACCTGCTATCCACATAACTAAATGGATATTAGTGAAACCTTATATAAATAACCTTCCTCTACAAAAAATCAACCACCACAAATACCTGTAAGACAGTAAAAGAGAAATGTTTATGGCTCCACCTCCTAGTTCACCTACATTCTCTCACTTACGGCTGAGGTGGCCACGCAGAAGAGGCCAGCAATCGTAAATCATGGGCAGCTTCCTCCAATGGTCTCTGAAACTACATGATCAGGGTATCTATCCTAACCTAGCCAACAACCTGTCTCGACTGTGAGTAAATCATTTGTTGCAAATGGGGTTATTTAAAATCTTTAAAACATACTTGTTAACATCAAATATGTGCAAGGAAATACAATTTGAGTCATGGGGGCTAGAAATACTTAGAAAACATAAAGACTATTCCTAAGGAACTAACAATTTTAACACCTTGATGGTGCGTCCATCATTCTGGAACTTAAGGCTAAAAATACATTAATTTTTTATTCCTCCTTCTACTCAATTTCCACCCCAAATTAATTATACTCACCAAGTTGCATCAATTCTACCTTGTACGTAATCCTCTATCTTCACCCTCAAAGTCAGGACTCTAATTCCGTTCCTTATTAACTCATAGATGGGTCACAGCAATGTCTTAAATCTCTTTATCTTTGAGTACTTATTATTGGTTCCACATATTTGACATGGAAAAATGCATTTATTGTGGAAGTATTTTAGCGAATCTATCCCCTCTCCCATTCAACTCTGTAAGAGCAGATTCCTTCCCCGATCTCACCTATCTCACCTATTACTGATTCTTAGGCAACAGGAGGCACTCAACAAACACTAGTTAACTAAATCAAAACCATTCTGCAAAACACATCCAGGAAGTATCTCACTACTGAAGTATCTGACAAACTATCTGTATGGGCCATCTGCAGCCTAGCACAAGTGGCAGGCTGGCAATTTTTTTTTTTTTTCCAAAATAATAACAGAAAAAGCTCTTCCATTATTGCAAGCTGACTCACCTCCCAATGGAGCATTATATAGACTCCCCTGTACTGTATTGTGGACCAATTCAGTATTAGGAAAAAAACAATTTTTCTTTAGTCTAGAGTATTTTTAAGAACTTGGACCTACAGGTCCAACATTCATTTTTCACAATCCAAGGTAGTACTCTTTTTTATACAGGATCAACGGCCCCTCCCACACCACCCGCCATATGGTAGCAGACTGTCTGGCCTTCGTTTTCATGGTGCATTGGGTTAGTCCTTAAATGCTGCGATCTAAAGTATCGATTTTACCATCCAACTTTGTGGACCTGGTGACCGAAAAATGTTAATATACTTCCTTATTTGTCCTACATTCCCAATAAATAATTTAGACGTAAGAAAAGGCTCTTTTGTTTATTATGTAACCACAACCTCAATATTTTAACTACACTGCATGGCATCGCTAATTCTACGTCTGTAATAACGTCCCCTTCCGTAATAACCAAACCCCCACAAACCACTCCAAATACTAAAAAAAAAAATAAAATAAAGTATAGGGTTCCTAGGGAACTGACTTTGCCAGGACATATTTTTCGTTGGGGCGGAATGCACCGAAAATCATTGGTAGGAAAAACAATTTTTTTTTTTTTTGAGGAAAAATTTGGAAACCTTTTCCCCAAAGGGCCCGCAAGATCCTAAAAAAAGCAAGAGACCGCGCAGGAACCGAGGATCCCCCTCACAGGCGACACCCGGCGCGACCTCCGCTAGGGTCCTGACAAAGAATGTCCACTTCCCGCGGCCGCACCTCTGGGGCCAGACCACTGGTCTCCAGAGAGGCGCGGAGACCTCCACCAGGGATCGGAGTGGTACTCAGACCTGCACACCCGCGAGTCCTCGAACAGCTCCACGCGTCTCCAGCTCCCCCCGAGCCCGAGCCACGCACCGGGCCGTGATAGCACAGGGACCAGACGGAGCGCTTTCCCGGAGACACCAGAGGGAGGAGCCAGGCAGTTACTAGAGTCGTTGCTAGGGTTGGGGCCGCGCACAACGCAGACCGCGCGGCCTAAGCAAAAAGCTGGGAAGACAGCGGGGCGGGGTTAGACTGGAAGTTCCGCCTCAGCCTCTCTCTCAGCGGCGGTGTCGCACTTCTGAGAGGCTCTGGCGTGGGGCAGGGCCGCGTTCGTCTGGGACCCGCCTCAAGCCTCGCAGCCTTTCACCCGGTTTCCTCCCGATTCTTTCTGGGACAACATAATTGGGAAGCGGTTCTCGAAACATACTCTCAAGGCGTAGTTGCAGTGAGTTGTGAAGAAATGTTGATCCCAGAGAAAAGTTTGCATTTTGCCCACCTCAAAGATATTTTAGTTGTGAGAACTTGGTTATATTACTCTTTCGTGGCTATATCAATATCATTATTTCGTGCGCTGTATGGTAATGAAAGCTATTAGAAAAATCATTTGTATCTTTATGATTTAGTTTGCATAAAAGCACGCATATAGAGTTAAGACTATTTTGTGTGTTTTTCCAGTTTGAAGTATAATATGTGGATGAGTTATTAGAACATTTGTCCGTACCTCTCCCCAAAGAATGCCCAAACTGAAGTGCACTCTAACAACTAAGATTTTAAAACACAATGGTCAAATGCTGAGCAATGTTTTATTGAGCACTCTGAATTTATCGAGTGGTAGTTAAAGGACATTACAATGCCCTAGAAGTGCTCACGATATCAAGTAAAGCATGTTAAATTTAAGTACAGAAAATGCAATATTCTTACTACTGAGATTAAAAAATGCAACTGAATACATTACAGGAATTTCAAGAAAGCTGAGAATGGAGTGGTCAATAAAGGCTTCTTTTTCGAACTTGGGTAAGGCCTTGAAGAATGATTTAGGTTTAGGATAGTGTTTTCAACTGGAAAGGGGATTGTGTGGGACCCCATTAGTGGAGGTCTTGACCCATTTGTAAGCAAGGAAATCTCTTTACACTTAAAAAAAAAATTGAAACAATATAGATTGGAAACATCAGCGCATGTAAGTAAATTTAGTGTTACTTAGTAAAGTGCTACTGTATGGAGCTTTTAATTATATATATGCATGTATGTGTGCACTAGGGCTTGTTTGTAAAATGTATTTCTTAGTGTATTTCAAACTCTAAAAAGTTTGAAAGCCAGTGATTTAGGGAGAAAGGTGAACTTTCTGGGTAGGGAAAGTAGAATAGCAAAGTCTATAAGCCAGGAATAAGTAATTCACACCCATTTTCCTTTTTAGCTTAACTCTAAGTTTTATCAAAATAGTTAAATTGCACAGATTAAAAAGTAAATGATACTATTTGTTAGATTGAGCATTGGGTTGCTATTGTATGTAATAAATTACTCCAAAATATGGTGGCTTAAAACAACCATTTTATTATGTTCACAGGTGATGTTGTCAGTAGGGCGCAGTCATCAGCTTTTCTTTGGTAACTCAGAAAGACTAGAGTAGGCATGCTAGCAGAGCTTCTGTAACTATATGGCCGGGGCTTCCTCACAGTATGGCAGCAAGGTAGTCAGACTTCTTAGCTTAAACTCAGAGCTCCAAAGGGAGTGTTGCAATGAACAAAGCAAAAATTGCCTGACCTTTTCTGACCTTGCCTCAAAAAGTAACACGGTGCTACTTCCCTCACTTTCTTTTGCTTACAATTGTGTCAAAGTCCTGTTGCATTTTAGGAAAGGAGACATAGATCCCTCTTCTCAAAGGATTGGCAAATCTTGTCGATGTTTTAAAACCAGCGTAGTGAATTTACTTCTGTAACAGAAAACCCCAAAATATCAACAGTTTAATACATGTTTTTTTTTTTTTTTTTCTCACAAAAGATCCATTTTGGCTATTTCTAGTCAGATGAAATGTTAAATTCAAGGCCAAATGTTTTTATTTTTAATGGTTCTGCTGCCTTCTAGGACTAGCTTATCTGACAAGAAAGAAAGTATGGCGAATCACCCAACGTCAACCCTAAAAATGACGTATATCAATTTGGCCACATTCTGTTGGCCAGAATTTAGTCGCAAGGCCCCTACTTTAACTGCAGTGCATTCTGGGAAATGTAGAGAAACACACACATATTGGTGAGCACTAACAGTTTGCCACATTCTGAGGTTAAAGAAAGCCCTGTAGTCTCCAACCCTTTTACTCTATTCTCAATTCTGCTCACCAAAGGAAAATTCAAGTGTTTTAAATATTTTGTCTATTATCCACTATGTCTAAATATACTTACATTGCAATTTCTTGGTTTTCCAATTTCAGACATTACCCATTGACTTTCTCCTACGAAAGGCAGTGATATAGGTCTTTTATAACAGTACCACCTCCAAGTGTGTGAACATTCCCTCTCTACCTCATACACTCTTCTTGTCCCTTTACCTATCAATATAGTGATATCATAGGCTTTGGCTAAATCAACATTTAGTGTTATCACTACTGTCTAGGTAAATGTCATTCAACCCCAAGGCACATAGCATATTAAGATCACATTCACTTTTAATACAACCTTTTACTTTCCTTTCTCTTAATAACTGCCATTTTTAACGTATTATTAATCTGTCCTCAAACACTTTGGCAAACTGCTAAAGCATCACAGTGAAATATATCAGATAATCCAGTAGATGTTTTTTTCCTTACAGATACTCTTCCTACAGCATTACAACCTTTAGTTTATTCAGGATTGCTGGTTTCTGCAATGTAATACTGTTCTCCTGTGTGTTAGATCACTTGTTTCCTTTTTCTTTGTTTAATCCCTTTTTAAAAATGAACTACATCCTCTAATGCCTTCCTGAAAAAAGGTAAATAGTGTAGTAGACAGAATAATGACCCCCAAAGATGTCTATATCCTAATCTTAAGAACCTATTGATATTTTATCTTATATGGCAAAAGGAACTGCATATGTGATTAAGGAGATGGGGAAAATTACCCTGGATTATCTGGATGGCTGGACATAATCAAGGAGTCCTTATAAGAGGGAGACAAGATGTCAAGAGAGGGGATAAGATTCTACACTGCTGGCTTTGAAGATAGAGGGAGGCGTTCTGAGCAAAGGATAGCAGGGGACTGCTAGAAGCCACCTTTCTCACAAAAAGATCTTCTGGGAGAAAAAAAATTATGTGTATTAAACCATCGATATTTTGCGTTTTTTTGTTACGCAAGTAAATTTACTATGCTGGGTGACAAGAGTGAAACTCTGTCACATACACACACACAAAACATGAAAAGAGCATAGCCCTGCAGACCCATTTCAGATTCCTGACCTCTAGACCTGTGAAATAATAAACTGTGATTTTTTTTTAATTTTTTTTTTTTGCATAACATGCAGGTTTGTTACATATGTATACTTTTGCCAATGTTGGTGTGCTGCCCCATCAACTCATCAGCACCCATCAACTCGTCTTTACATCAGGTATCAACTCCCAAGCCAATCC